GTGGGCCGCAGGGCGCTGCTCCAGCTCGGCCGGCCCTTTGCTCCCGGCCTGGGGCTCGCAGCCTTCCCGCCGGGGTGGGTGCTGCACCCTCCTCGAAGGAGGCAGAGGCCGGCGGGACCCCGTGCCCGTCTGCCTCCTCGCTGCTGACGGTGTGGTCTCTCCGTCCAGCTCTGCAGGAGAATTTGGACAGGAAACTGTTTGGGCAGCACCTGGTGAACAAGGTGATTGTAAAAGCCGTGAAGGGCTTCTTGAACAACGCCAACGCCAAAAAGCCTCTTGCCCTTTCCTTGCACGGGTGGACTGGAACTGGCAAAAACTTTGTCAGTAAGTTAGTCGCAGAAAGCATTTATAAAAGAGGTCTGCAGAGTGAATATGTCCATCAGTTCGTGGCAACTTTACACTTTCCTCACGCTCACGACATCGATCTCTACAAGGTAAGAGTGTGCTGTGGAAGCTGTGGCGGTGGGGCACGGCTCTGCTGCAGTGACTGCTGCATTGGATTACGAATGTTATGGCACGGTCGGTACTAGAGACCTAGACGTTAGTTTATGCAGGAAAATGTAGCCTGTGCCAGTGTTGGAATCTTCTGTACAGAACTGGTTAAATCCTAACATCCATAAGGACTGGTTTTCCTATGAATGTAAAGTTTTTTGCATGTGTTTTGAGCCTCTCTTTGGGGAAGAATGAGATGGTTAATTTTTGTTCTGCACTTTGCTTAGAGATGTGACTGACCTAAGGATAAGCGTGATTCAGCACGTTTCCATGGTTAGGTGATATGCTGGTGGGCGCTGCAAAAAACTAATAGTTCATGACTCTGGGGAGCCGCCTGGTGACCTCCAAGCGTGTCATGTCAGATACCAAGCTGAAGCTTGCTCTCTGAGACATGAGTGTACTTTTCAGTTTTACTGCATATTGAGCAGGTTATTTAGTTTTTCTATGCATCCATTTCCCAGCTGTAAAACAAAATCACAAGGTAGTCTGTTGTCAGAAAGGTACAGATAAATGTATTTGGAATTGTTCTGCCAGTCTGCTAAGTGTCAACGCAGTTCTGTAGGCAGGTGGGTATCATGTGGAGCAGTAGCTCAGATGCATGTTTGCTGGGGTTTTTTGTTCTAACCAACTTTGTTAACAGCAGAATTTGAATGAGTACCACTGTCTTTTGAGGTATTGAATGTTTACATTCAGTTTGCATGTGTTAAAAATGGGAATGGGATGGTCTGCAACCCTGATTTCTAAATGGAGGAAATACTGTTTCCTCTTTTACAGCTTACTTTTTCCCCTTCTTGCAACTGAGCTGTTTTAAAATAAAATGGATCCTTTTCTGCTTTTGTTTCAAGGTGAATACACTTGGGAAACTTGCTGCCCAAGGCAGTAGGAGGAACTATCACTTCTTATCCACAATACACCCAATGCTACCTTCTTGCACTGTCTCTGCAGTTCAGGGACTGAGTAAACAGTGAATGTAAAAAAAATGATGAATCATTAAAAATGGTCAGAACAGTTACTTTTTAATCATCTGCCAGCAGGTCAACCCTTTTTTTTTCTAATTCATTATTGGTCTTAAATGTAGCACTTAAGTGAGAGAAGAATGCAACACCGAAGAGAGAGAATGTTTAAATCCAGTAAAGTGGATCCAGCCCTTCTGAACAATATTGTGTTTTCAGAAGGGCTTGTAATTGTCTTCATTTAACTTCCGAATTATTCAAACGCAGGGCTGAGAATTGAATTCTCTTTCTACTTCTGCCAGTGACTGCAGGTGCAATTTCTCACGGGTGTTGTTCAGGTAGCAAATTTACTATTGTTGATAGCTTTTGACACCTAAGGATGTTTAGACCAAAGTGCTGCCAAAAGTAATCATCTTGCTTGTCAGGGCTTTGCCTTGTGTTGCTGTTCCTTGGTGGTACCCATCCTTTGTCCTACTGTGTGCTTTCATTTTTGCTACGTTTACAGGAATATCTGTCTCACGAGGAGTTTTCCCGTTTGTCCCATCCTGTCTCTTGGTGTCTTAAAATTTTTCAGAACCACCATGAGATTTTGTTAAAGTTTTATTTACAGCTTTTAACCATGTTTTAGTCAAGAAGCCAAAGCTATTAAATGACACAATTGATGTGACTCTTTCAGGACAAAGGTCAATAAGCAGAAATGCGATTTTCTGTCTTTTCAACACAAACTCTTTCACCATCTTTTATTTTTATGCCACTCAGGACCAGTTGCAGTCGTGGATTCGGGGAAATGTGAGCATCTGTCCCAGATCACTCTTCATATTTGATGAAATGGATAAAATGCATGCCGGACTCATTGACTCCATCAAGCCATTCCTGGACTACTATGAGCTTCTGGATGGAGTGTCTTACCGACAAGCCATCTTCATATTCCTCAGGTACGAAGTGGCTCCTCAGGTTTGCTGTTCTGTACACTCGATGCCTTTTAAAACTACCTCCATCTACAATCTTTGTTTTCTCTTTACTTAGCAATGCAGGAGCTGAAAAGATAACAGAGGTGGCACTAGATTTCTGGAGAAGTGGGAGGACGAGGGAAGATATACAGCTCACAGATATCCAAAATTCACTGTCTGTGTCCGTCTTCAATAACAAAAATAGTGAGTAAAACTGTGATTGCTTTTGAGGTGGTAAAAGTTCCACAGAAGGGATGGGCTGCATTTAGCTGCATTTTTACAGCTATGGTTTCTACTTGATGTAGCCTCCAGTTTTCGGCCAGCAGGGAGCCACGATGCAGTTTTGGGACCTACGGTCAGCTCTTGAGATGAAATAAAGGTTAAGGAGCATTGTGTGCACCTTGGCTCCCAGCATGTTTGCTGTCCATTGAATTGCATACATTGGGGGAAGTCTACACTGTGCATTTATTGACATACTAATGGGCTAAAGGGAAAGCAAACAGAAATCCTGACAGTAAGGCTAGGTATTGCATTAACCAATAAAACCAATAAACTGTTTTATTATGGGGAAGCACTCCCTTGGCCCCCAACCCACTTGGCCTGTCTTGCTCAGCCTATTAAAAGCCTTCAGGCAGCTATTTAGCAGCAACAAGCTGACATGCCAGTCCTGCTGTGGGCAGTCCAGTGCTTCTTAGTTTCCTCACCCAGGACTTCTGGTGAAAAGGGGTTTTAACATAACTGTGCTCTAAAATTAGCATTGGAAGCAAACTCACTGTACTTTTTAAAAAGGTTAGATGCAAGCTCCAAAAAAAGAAGCAAGGAAGCTGGTCTGGGAGAGCTGATGAGAGAGAAAATCTGTTCCTCTCTAGATGAGAGAGGGGAAGCTATGAGACTAGCACCTGGGGAGCAAGGCTTAAATTCATTCAGTCAGAATTCATTTATTCCGCTCCAATGGACCACATTTATGTGTCCAAAACTTTATGCACAAAGTACCACGAGAAGGGGCTTGGATTTGGACTCACTTATAGACCCCTTATAGGGCCCTAAAAACACAGGTGAATTCTTACTGGTATGTAGCAGAGGGCCTCTTGCTCCCATTCAGCCCAAGGTAGTGTTTAACTAGAGGAGCAGTAACAAACCCCTTCTCCTTCCCTCTGTAGGTGGATTTTGGCACAGCACCTTGATTGATAGAAATCTCATTGACTACTTTGTTCCCTTCCTGCCTCTGGAATACAAACATGTGAAAATGTGTGTCAGGGTTGAGATTGAATCACGTGGCTATGCTGTGGATGAAGACATTTTAACCAGAATAGCTGACGAGATGACCTACTTCCCCAGAGAGGAGAGAATTTATTCAGATAAAGGATGTAAAACTGTGGATGCAAAGCTGGATTATTACTATGACTTCTAATGCTTTATTGCTACAACCTGCAAAGAAGCAAATTTAACTTAATCACGAAGTGGAGAACCCGAGACATTTCATTTTTAAGCACTTTTTAAGGAAAGGACATTATTTTTTAACTGGTGTGTAAATAAGCGGCAGTGCCTCTGCATTTTTGTTCTGTCACTAGTCATGGCTCCCAAGTACTTCGGCCTTGTGTTGCCAAGGTAAGAACGAACTGTGTTGTGAATGCGGAGGTCTGTGTCTGACAGTGCCGAAGACTCCTCTCCGATCGCGTGTCGATCGTCAGAACCGTTTGGCAGACTGTTGGCCCATATAGAAGGACTGAGACTATGACCTAATTTTAATTGGATTGTGGTTTGATGTGGATGATCCCTAGACAATATTGAGAATTTTAATCAAGTTCCTATGTCTGTGAAAGCCTTCATGGTGCTTATGTAGGAATATTCCTATAATTGTATTAAAGTAGGATATGTGTCTTTTCCCCTTTAACAGCTTCGTTCCATTAGAGATAAGGAGGGGATTCTGTAATTAAAAAAAAAACCCAGAGTCTTCTATCCAACATTGTGCAGTACCGTTGTCTTTCTCGAAACAGTGGTATGAATTGGCCTCCTGCGTGTTCAAACCAAGAATATGAAACTTTTTGGTGTGAATAATGTTCAAAGGGTGGACTTAATATTACAAGGACGTGAGTTAAAATCCTTGACTACCACTTCAGTGTAGTTGGTTCCTATTTTTGGTTATTTTTTATGTATAAAGTTGCCCACAGTGTGCTCTCTCAGGAGCGATCTTCTCAGGAAGGAGAAAAGTGTGCTTTCTGGCTGGTGAGTCAGCTTCATGTAAAGAGTGTAACTTAATGGGAAACATACACAGGTTAAATTTTATGCCAAGGAAATGGAAAAAAGGTTTCTCCTCTTCACCTACATGTAGAATTCAGGGGCCAGCTTGCAGCGTTTCCCTTTTTCATCTTCTCGCAATACTGTATGCCTTTGAGGCAGGGATGAAGACAGATCCAAAGGCATTTGAAAAAAAAAGTGAAATGTGTCAACTGAAGTTACTGCGAAGAGTGTCAGACTTGTTTCTGAATGTGAGCACTGCAGAGGCTTTTTTTCACTCCAGTTTCTCTATTCAAAATAAACTTTTCTCATCGGAAATGTATTTCTTAGTTACCTTCTGGTGTTCTTTGCATTGAGCCATTTGCTGTTAATTTTGCACAAACTTACTACTTGTTGTGGAAGAGCATACTACGTTTCTGGCAGAAGTGTTCAGCTGTGTGTGAATACAGGTATCTCCCTTCCTGCGTTCAAAGGGAATAGAGATGAGGAGGAGCTGTGAAAGGGAAACAAATAGGGTTGGGAGTGGAAACTGCACTTCTAGACCGTCGGTACTAATTACGCTCGCATGGTTTTTGTCGAGGCAGACTTTCTAGATGTGTACATGCTCAACAGTATCATAAGGATGAACTTGTCTCCAGAGACTAGTTAAAACCCTGCTTCTCGTCTCCTCCTCTCACTGTGGTACCACTGACTGAACATCCTGCAGGCCCTCATTGAAGCCACCCACGATTTCAGTGGCAGCATCTTGGAAGTTTTTGCTACAAGGGGAAAAAAAGGGCCAGTAAGACTTAGCTGTCCAGTTCTGCTCTGAAGTTGTGTAATGTACAAATTATCGGTCCTAGTATTTGTCGGCAAAGGAGTGCTTTGAACTCGGGTATTCACCTGTTTCTTTGACCTCCTGATGATAGCAAATAACTGGCTAATGGAAAAAAGCAGACGTGAAAATGATAAACTTTTACTACTGTCTGATACCTTCTCAACAAAAGAAACAGTTCAAACCAAGCAGTACTGTGGCTCTCCCAGCATCAAATACACTCTTAGTTCTGCTTTGTGTGCTTTGCAGCATCAGTACTAGCATTTGACATACATTGGTAGCAAGTATTTCATCATATCATAGCCTAGATGGCTTAGGGTAGATGGAAGCTTCCTTGAGAGGATGTAGAAATGATGTTCAAAGGGTGGAGACTGCCTCTGTTTAATCTCTCTTCTGTTCTTGAAAATAGCAGACCTGGCTAGGGCATCTCCTGCATCTGGGTGAAAGAAATGCATGTGCCTGAAATCACTGCCAGACTTCATCCTTACAATCCTGTCTCATTCCTCCCCTTTAGACTGTATGGTTTCAAAGCTGAGATCCTCACTCTGTCTTTCTTGCTGTTATTTGGTAACTTTGGCCATTAATCTTTTTAATAGGCCACCTGAAACTGGATCAGACAACTTAAGGGAAAATGTCAAATGGGGGGAAAGGTCTGATCCCCAGAGAAACAGTCCGTTGGCCAGGTGAGAGGAGCTGAGCAGCCACCGAGACTGAATTTTGTTTGCTCTTACCAAAGTCCAGTACAAGCAACTGCTACTTTAATTCAACCTGCAGGGAATGTTCCAAGATCTCATGCTGTGCTCATAAAATTAGAGGCTATGGTTAAAATTCAGCAATGTTTTAAGTGCTGCTTTTGATAGAAAGAGGCAGCCTGGCCCTAGAGCTCCGTCTGCTTGATGGCCGGGGCCAAACAGCCAAGCTTTTGTGTGTGCAGAGTGGCGCAGGCACAGTGCAAAGTCCTGGTGAACAAGACAGCTTACGCTTCTCATATATGCTCTGTAATGAGTTTCCTTGTGCATCCTTACAGCACAACACATGGTTCACAACAGCGTGAACAACTGACTGTTCAGTGAGGTGCGAGTTGTTGCCAAGAGCTGTACCTCAGTTGAATTAGGACGTTAGTTACACGCTGGCTTTTTTTCCGGGCTAGAGAGGCTGCAGATGCTCTGGCCCACGGAGATACGACAAAAGCCTGTAGTCCTGTCGTGCCTTTGCCAGCTAGAGGAGAGGTGAAGAGCCGCCTTGAATGACAGCTTTCCAGATACAGCACAGAGAGGAGGAAGAGTTAAACAAGCTACCTGAGCCTTGTTTGTCCTGCAGTGCCTGGCAGCATGGTAGGAGATAGCTGTTGTTAACCATGAAGCAGAGCAGGCAGACTTTAAGGCTTTTTCATAGGTGTTTGTTTCTACCGAGCTGTATTTAACTGTTGAATGCCTTACTGTGCTGTTGGATGACTCAACATGTTTTAATATCAACAGGCTACTTAATCTGCTTATCTATTGTTATAAACAAATTTTTAAGAGTAAAGGAAGCTTAATAGAAAGCTGCAGTGCAGCTGGTTCAAACCTACATAAACTAGTACTTTCCTATACTTGAAAATTATTAAACCAAGAGAGAAAAGTGACTTCAGATTTATTCTAACTGCAGTACAGTAGTAATATTTAGCATTTTGAAATTGCACAAGCATTTTGTATTTGGAGGAACTGAAACTGGATGCAGCATTTACACCTATGAATCAGTCAGTCAATAGGCAAAAAACCATATACATACATGAAAAGCAATAATCCAATGTCCCAAGGTTAATGGTTAGCTAGCATTTGGCTCTGGAGATTGCATCAGCATGAACAGTTTGCCAACATTTGACAAATTCCACATGCGGTTGTAAAAGGCAATTGACACTTTTAGTTTAGAGCTTAACATAGATGCTAAGCTCTCTGTTGTAATTTGAATTAACATAATAGTGTTGAGACCTATAAGTTTTGCTTCACATCTTAAAGCAAGTTTAAGTACAAGTGAAGGAGTAGATGGTGCAGAACAAAGATAGCCCAAGCCCTCTGTCGCAAATCAGTGGTTTAGAGGCCACTTAAAGAATCTCTGTCAAAGGTCTTAGCAGAAAGTGATTTTAATAGAAATTTATAAAAGCATGACTTAACAGAGTTCGATGGCAAGGTTCACTCTATCACTTACTACACTGATGAAGCATACAAAGGAAAAGAGCTTGGGGAGCTGTAAAGTCCTTGACTAGCGTAAGCACTACTTAGCAACAACTAAAACATCAGTGTGTTATCAACATTCTTCTCATACTAAATCCAAAACACAGCGCTATACCCGCTAGTAGGAAGAAGATTGACTCTATCCCAGCCGAAACCAGAACATCGTGTTAGAATTGAGTTGGAATGACTTATGCAGAGGCTGAGGACAAAAGGTTAAGGGAGATCCTTCTGTTGAGTCATGAGGTTCGGAGAAGACCCAATGGGTCTGGATCCAATCTTAGTCTCAGACTTGGACAACAGTTTATGTCTAAAGGATTATATGTGTTTAGCAGTAGTCTAAGGTTCATTCCCAATCTTAAGACAGATCATAAGATTTTAGCAGACTACATTTGCTAGCGGGTACCTCCATCAATTCACACACATACGCACCCAGACACAAAAAATAGGTAACTATGCAAAGGTATACCTGTTAAAAATTCCCCTCTAGTTCAGTGAAATACTCACGTCAAATGTCTTGGCATTTCTCAACAGGCAAAGGGTTGAGCCTCAAGGAGTGTTTCGGTTGTGGAGTGTTGCATCCCAGGTCACGTGCCAGTCGGCGACGGTCCTCCGAACATCGCAAACTCAAGAGTTCACGGCCTCTGAGAAGCGTTCCACTCAGAGGGAGATTCTGGGCGCAGCCCTGTGTGGCCCA